GGGGGACTTCTACCACAAAGCAGCTGCTTTGCAGTCACTCTCTTTCTTTACACCCAAAGTTGTAAAGGATGAGGACAATAAATACCATCCTATGGCAGAAACTATTTTAATTCATTCAACAGCATGCCTTTGCATTCTGTGCTACTTAATTTCATCCCACTTCTGTACACAGCAATCCTGAATGTCAGCCTGTACGATATTTCCATCCTCCAGGTGTTTTCTTCCTCTGTCAAACCATCAAGATTTCGTCAGCATGCTTCTGCTTTTATGTCAGTGACCCTAATGGACGTGTGACAGCAGTTCAGTCACTGGACAGCATAGGTACCTGCCCCCAGACCAAGAGTCCCTCTTCCAGCTTAAGCTGCAACAGCTCTTCTTCAACAGGTCATTCAAAATACTTTATGATTCCTCAGTCTCTCCAGAGACTAGTTTTCTGAGTGATTTCAAGAGTGGATTTTCAAACAAACAAACAAACAGATTAAACCCACAATCTTTTTCAGTCCAGAAGATCAGTCACCTTCCTGAGACAAGTATCTCCTACCTACCTAGATCATGCCTCCGTCACCCCAAATACAGGCACTGCTGCTGCTCTCCAGTCATACAATGGCATTTCTGACCTATTGATGAATTAAAACTTCTTGCTGCTTGATTATCATTTCTTACATCAGTTCCTTCGTTCTTCTGGGCTGGACATGACCAGCTGCCCAGCATGAGCACATTAATCTCTGAGGTAGAGACAAAACTTGGAGACGCGATAGCCCCATGTGTCATCATTACCAACAACCTCCTGGTTGACCTTTGTCATCCTTACAGAAAATAGGCAAAAACTCATTTAGATTTTATATTAATCCCTACCTCACTCTCTCCATGAAGCAGACTTTGCTGTTGTTTTTACAAGGCTGACAAACCTTTAGGTGTTTATTTTCATTTGCTTTGCGAGGCTTGACTTTTGGCAACTCGTATTTTAGCTCCTCAAATTCTCCAGCCCTTCTTCCTGTTTGCAAAGGACCCCTTGAACAATTCTCACTTCTACCGTGCCACAGATGGAGAAGTTTCTTTCTTGTGGTCCTCCGCTATCTCTCCACCTGTCCAGTGACTCTCATCTCACCTCATAATGCTTTCTCTTGTACCTTTTGCCCCCCATAGTACCATCACTTCCCTAGTCAAAATCTCTTTCAGTTTCTCACCTCCAACGTTCCCTTCACCACTCCACTTACTTCTCTACCTGCTGCTTTTTCCTTTCTCTTTCAACTAACTGCTTGCTTTCCAGCTTACTATTTACAATGAACCAGTGACTGGAGTCCACCTCTTCCAATGCCATTCATACTCCGTCAGCATACTGCTCCTGGCAACAGAAATCCAGGTGTTTAGCAACTGATCTACTTTTACAGTTACTTCTTTACTGTTCTTATCTCCTTCTGGCTACAGTATGATTCAGCTTGTCTCTGTTTCATTTCACAGGTACCTGGCTGTCAGTTTAAGATCAAAAACCCCACAGGACTCAAAACTTTTCACCTGTCTTGCCTGCTTTGTTGTCTTTTCTTCACAGACAATAGCACTGTCCTATTTGACACACAGGGTGCTGGCCTACCTACAGCCTATCTTTACATCACAGAGGTAGGCTGAATCTCATTTTTCATGTTCTTTCTTTTAAAATACAACCTTGTCTTTCTAGTCACGCCATTAAAATTCCTTGCTGCACTCTCAAACTTTGTACTCCAGTTACCAATATGCCTCTTTGTCCAGCCTGAAGTAACGTCATTCAAAACAATGCTGAATATCCACTTAAAACTTAAAAGCTTGCTGCAGAAAGCATTCTCCTCTCCCCTCTTTTGAGCATGCCATCCATCTATACAAATCTCTACTTCTCCCATCCTTCTCTCTCCCAAAGAAGTCCAGCCATGCATCTCTGTTTCCATGCCCTTCATGGCTTGCTCCCAGTCTTCACATCATCTGTCTTAAGAGCCTCAAGACACCAACACCCAGTTCATTTTCAAAAAATGCCTTCATGCTTTCTCATGTTGAATCTGTGGCGTTTGGGAGGTATTCTCTCTCAACACCTCCAGAAGTTACATTTGACTTTTGAAGTTTTGTTAAGAAAACCTCCATTGTCTTGGTGTCTACAAATAACTTCAGAAAAAGGAGACTGCTGCAAATTGATACTGCTGCCTCGGATGCCAGTCATCAGCTGAGACAACATATGTGTGCAGGCAAGGCTCGTTTAACATTTAGTCTGCAATTTCTTTTGGTCAGGATAGTGCTTTTGTGCAGCATCTATCACAACAGCAAGCTGCTACTAGGGCTTTTAGTATTTCATAATACTGTAATGTCGTAAGAAATCTTAAGCTTCACTAAATACTAAGTGACTAAGTATTTAGTGACAAAAACAATAGCTATTATTGGCATCCTTTGATGTCTAACATTAAATTTAAAGCTAAGAAATCTGGCGTTTATACAAAAGCTTTAAACTTTTGAAAGTTACGGAACTACTGATGACTACATAAGCCACAGACTGTTTTTTTCTTTTATTAATTGTAGAAGTTCGAAACACAAGAAAGACATTTCTGTACTTAAGTAGGTAAGTGTTTATGGTGCTAAAGCTGTAATCTTATGATTGGCTTTTAAACAGACCATTCTCCCATAGCAGTGCCAAGCATTCCAGAATCCTGGACAGGTTCTTAAGACAGAGAATTTTAAAAAAGGTTTATTAGACTTCTTGAAACATAAAATATTTAGGTTCATTCACTTACTGGTACAAGAATATATTTAAGCAAGATTTCAAGCTTCTGAATGATTAGAGTTGGTAATAAATACCAACACAGAACAAATAAGACCTTTTATACACCTTTCAACATAGGTTCTATGAAATTTTTGGTTAGATTTGCATTTCTCTCAGACATACAGAATGATTTGCCATCTAATGCTTTTCAGCTGAAAAGCCCCCAAATCACTTTACAAATGCAGCATCACTAGGAACTAACTGCTCTCCAACTGCTGGGTCAAACCCCTGATCTGATACCACACAATATTTAATAGCCACATGCAACACTGAGGTCCTAAAAGACTTGGTTGCTCCCATACTCATCAGCTGACCTTGGGTCTTCAACCTAGGCCTGATTTACAGCACCATTAAAAAAAACTAAGACCAACACTGATCAATCCAACAGCATATTAATTCAGCGTTATGAATTTCAAAGTACAGGAGGTAAAATTAACATCAGGAAACCCTATAAGCTTCAAATTTTTTTTGTAAAAAAAAAAGCCACCTGATGACAATTATAAAAGAGATGATTACACTTTTCAGGGCAAAACTGCTGGAGGAGGGCATCGCTGTTCATAAATAATCGTCTGAGTTAGAGGCTATTTACTGACTTTAGGACCATAGCAAAGCCATTAATACAACAAGATCATAAAAAGAGCTTAAAATGTTTTATGTTCTGAAGAGCTTAAGGGAAACAAGCAGCTCATACATTTAAAAATATTTTTCAATAATATGCATGAGATTTTTTGCTCATGAAGGACACCAGCCTGGAAGCCGAAATCATCAATTTGCACCCAGAACAGGTGTGGAATTCTGACACATTGCCTCCTTCCCCCGAACAGGGCTCATTTCTGACCTGAAAAAACTAACACTAACCACAGAAAGTCAGAAGTCACTTCCATGACCTTGCAGTCCCTCGTCCTATTAATACTGGCACCACCAGCTGTTGTGATGAGCTCAAGAACACATATGCACATTTCCTTTGAGAATATGACCAAGATCTGCCAAACTCCTTTGACATAGAAAGAACAACATAGCTGAAACAGGAAAAAAAAATAAAAATCTGTTTTTCTGAAGTATATTTATGGGATAGAGACACATTCAAAATGATTTCCACATCTTACAGAAAACCACCAGCTGGCAAGTTTACAGGAGCTCAAAAATACTAATATTTTTCCTGGTAAAAAGAGGAGTCAAAGATGGGAAATCTGCCTCTCAAAGGAAGCAGACTTGAAATCCTCTGTGCTGATTAAAACTCTATGCACTTCTTGGAAACATGTGGAGGAAAGATTCTAAGTACTATCTAGATGCAGGACAGAATTTCCTTATCTCTTTTGACTGTGGTTTCAGTACTGCTGTACTGATTTATGTCACGGAACTTCACAAGAAAATTGTTTCATAGAAATCTCAGGGCAGTTTTAAAAGCCTTTACAATACCAACCTGGATACCACATCAAACCAAGTTCTCCTATTACTGCTTTTGATCCCAAAGAAAACGCATATAAATAACAAAATAATATGAAACTTACAGCCACCTCCTAAAGATCTGGCTCAAGCTGCCACAGCTGCACTGATTCCAGTGAAGTGAGGACATTTTATATCAGCTGGGGACTTGGCCTGACAAAGGTGAAGCACTCAGCAGCATGCCAAATTGAGTGCGTGTGCATTTAAGCTCATTTTAGTCACCACTAAAGCCTTCACGCTTTGAAATACAGCTTTAAAAAAACAGAGCGGTAATTCTTGACCATTTCTCATCCGGCTGAGAAAGCAATACAAAAAAAAGATCCAAGTCTATATTCACTAAAGTTTCGAGGCAGTTTCTGCTAACTTTTCAGAGACCTTCATCAGCCACCATACCATGACTATTTGTTTGGGAGACCTGAGATGGGTTCCTAACAGCGGGAAGGAGCCACAGCACAGTCTGAAATAACTGTTAAATGTTCAACTTCTCAGGCCATAAGCCAAGATCCTTATTTCTGCACTAAGTATCATCTGGCCCATGGCCACAACTGGTTAAATCTTACTTACGAGTCAAGAAAAGAGGAAGAGTCAACACAAGGAGAGAGATATTTCAGATGACCCAGACAGACAACTTCAGTGTTTTGGTTTTCTTAAACAGCACAAGCAATCAGTGCTAAAAGTTAATATCATAACAACCCGTGTGGAATTCAGCTTTCTAGAGCAGGTTCCAAAGTTCGTGAGCAGTTTTCCGAAATGCCACCGTGCCAGCTTTACTTACCCCTAGCCATCTTGCTCCTTTGTTGGCAGCCTGCTGAATCTGCACTCTTTTCAGGGTGACGTGGTAAATAGCTCCCTCTTCTACCTCTTCACCCCCATCTTGAATTGTGCTCTGCCAGGAAAAGGGGAAAGAAAGGAAAAAAAGTTAGAACGGCACAGCTTCCCCCTTCTGCTAACCACAATCTATACCAGGTGCTCTGCTGCTCCGCGCACAGCTGAGGGCAGAAGATGGGCTGCACAAAGTAAATACAACAATCAAAGCAATAGACTGAGGGAACACTGGAGATATTCTTGGCAGGCTATCCTTTCCTGTGGTATCAAGATACCCTGACTTTCCATTTAGCTGTTTTTCCTAGACTAGCACATATTTTAAATAGTTGTATAAAGTCTTTTCTAAGGAAATAGTTTGGTTTTGATTAGCAGTCTTCTCTTCCCTCCCCCTCTCCCCTTTTCTAAACCAATTAATCTCTTTGGCCTTTCATTTATGGAAGGAATCGCGCTTTTTAAAACCGTGCAATTACTTAGGCACACAGCCTTTAAACTTTGAACTAACAAGCGTTTAAAATACGGCAACCCTTTTATTTCTTTTGACAGAAGGGATCTGAAGCGCTTGCGGTTTGCTTTCCCCAAAACCCATTATTTCAAACTACAAAAACAAAAAAGGAAAAAAAGCAACTTTGCAGAGAGACGAGGGTTTAAAGCCTGCAAATAACAGAGAGTGGGTTAAAAAAATAAAACAGCGCGCAACATCTTCCAAACTTTACCCGAACATGTGCTGGAAGGACTCCTCATCTCCTAGATTAACCGTACTAAAGAGCACAGAGGCGGACAGGAATCACGCACCCGCACTTCTCCCG